CAATTTAATATTTTTTTCAGATCCTGAACAATCCATAGTTATCGTGAAATCGTAATTATGATTTAATTTAAAAACATGAATCATATCTAATCCAATCATAAAATTATCTTCAAAATCGTTACTATCTACCACGGAAGCACTTATTTCATGTTCTACATCCAATGTTTTTGGCAAGGTATCATTCGTACACATGTAACTTATACACTGGCAATTTTGTACACAAGTAAAATGTGTCCAATATTAGTACACATAAACCAACCTTTTTTTTAAATTAAAAAATTACGATTACGATTATATTTTTTAATTTTTTGAGTTCATAAAAAAAAGTTCGATTATGTGTACAAATACTGGACACATTTTACTTGTGTACAGAAATGCTTATGTACAAGTTTCATGTGTACGAATGATACCTTGTCATATTTTCATATTTAATTTTACTGATCCCGAGGACATGCATACGATCGATCCATTTAAGCTGAGCTCTTTTTTCCTCATTATCTTTATTTTTTATTTTTATCAACTTTGCATTAATAAGAGAGACATTCGAGCCAGAGTCATATACCCCTTTGACATTTAACCCATTAACGACCAAAATGCTTTATTTTTTTGTTGGTTTTCGCAGCGATTTTTGTTGTAGTTTTAGGCCTCCAAAAAGTTTCGCAAGGACCTATTTCGATGTAAAATTTAATGTTCTTTGAGAAACTGAGCTCAAAATTTTGATTTTTTGTGTAATAAAAAAGGTATGGCTACTTAAATAAAAAAAAAACGTAAAAATTTTTGCATAAAAGTTTTCGATTTTTTTTCGCCATGTTATCGTTAAGGAATCACGATATAAATATGATCAGAGGTGATCACGACTATCAAAGTATCTCAGAAAATTTTTATGGAATTTTCGAATCACTTTTCAAACTTTGGTTTTGTGCACTTTTTCTCTAAATTCAATAGTTTTCGAGTAAAAATGAGTTATGTTTTATATGAACAAAAGTTATTTTTTGTTTGAAGTATTGGTTCGAAAATTCCATGAAAATTCCCTGAGATACTTTAACAGTCGTGATCACCGCTGATTATATTTATATCGTAATTCCTTAACGGTAACATGGCGAAAAAAAATCAAAAACTTGATTTTTTGCAAAAATTTTTACGTTTTTTTTCGTATAAGTAGCCATACCTTCTTTATTACGCAAAAAATCACAATTTTTAGCTAAGTTTCTGAAAGGGCATTCAATTTTACATCGAAATGATGTTGTAGGAATTGAATGAGGCGACCACTATACATGTATATTGTGTAAGAGCTTTATTGTATAAGATGTTGCTACTGTGTAGGTTCGCAACCAACTAACTGAACGTATACCAGTGTATAGTGAGGTTTACGGATGTGACCTCTCGCGGGTATATATGGTAGTAATTACCGGATAACAACACGAAATAGGTCCATGCGAAACTTTTTGGTGGCCTAAAACTACGAAAAAAATTGGTGCGAAAACCAACAAAAAAATCAAGCATTTTGGTCGTTAATGGGTTAAACTGTCATTAAGTATGTGATGATGCACAAAGCACGTAGGCATCGCACCGCGAATTTTCGTATATCTCGTGCAAGCACATGTGTGCGTGTATGTTTTCACGATTTGCAGGTCGACAACAGCAGCAGCAGCAGCGGCAGCAGCGAGCAACGACACTTCGACACGTGCGACGGCGTATGCGTTCGAGAGAAACAGACATCTGCACGCGAGCAGACGTGCCGACGCGCAATAGATCACGGCAGATTAGTGCGAGTACGCAGCAAGTCGACATGTGTGTGATTCGCACAGCAGCCATCTTTTTTATATTTTATTTTTTTTTATATTTTTTTTTGCACAGAGAGTTTCGAGGTTATCGCCAGAGGTACGAGTGAGAAAAGCAAGTCAGTTTGTGCTCGTAGAAGACGGCAAGTAAAAGGCTGATGTGAAACGTGCGTGTTGTCGCCCAGGAGGGCTTGTTGTGTTGAGCGTGCTCGCGTAGTTCGTCGCCTGTGAGGCAAATTTCACCTAGTAGGGCTTGTTGGTGTTGCGCGTGCTCGCGTAGTAATTCGCCCGTGAGGCATGTTGGCCGAGCCGAGCCTGTGCAAGCCAGTGCACAAGTGCAGGATATTTTCTAATCGTCAGTATAATGGCGTATTTCGTCTTCGCACGTGATCATTGACGCCCGGACGAGGGCCGATTTGTAGCTGAGAAACGGAGCCGATTCAACGTCGAGGCGCCGAAGATTTGGGGTTAATTTTTATGATTATTTTCGAGATTATTGGTCAACGCGACTGCCGAGTCGCGGGCGTATGCGTGTGTGTATGAGTTCGAGCTTGGCTGACGAGTATCGCAGCAGAGATACGCAGCAAGCAAAGTATTGGTGTGCGTGTGTACGTTCGACATCCGGGCTGGTCGCATCAGGGCAGATCGCCCGTGGCAGAATACGAAACGCGTCGCCGGGATCAGCGTGCGAGTGCCACGTCGTGTCGATACACGTGCACTCGACATCGTCGCATAGATCGCGTGCGCAGCGGCCATATTGATTCGGCCGATTAGGCTAGTATCACGAGATACGATCGACGCGAGCGTTGAGCGCGCCCCTGGTGGGCAAAGTTGGAAGTAAAATTAGGTCGAACTTGCGCCTCGTCGCGTTTTTAAGTCTTATGGAAATGTATCATAGGTTGGTGGTTTGTTATCATGGTGAATTTGTGTCTCCATAAGTAGTAGTAAAATTGTTCTTCATCAAACATCATGGCTACTCGGAGAGAAATAACAGGGTCATATTCCACCAAAGATTTTCATGGTATACTTCAATGACATCAGCGAGGAACTATACCGCCCTTCTTACGTATACATCGAGTAGCGCCACCCGTTTATTTCTGGCAAAGCAAGTAACGAACGATTCCATAAGTCGTGCCGGATTTTCCCACCTTTTCCCAGAGAGAGAGTTTTTCAACTAGCCCCCGTATGTATCAAATAATTCGGCTGCTGCGGCAAGTAGCACTGCTCGACGTCCGTGACTGTGCAGCGACTTATGGGGTAAAAGGAGGTATTACTGCGCAATTTTCGGATCTTTGCTTCTGAAGGAAATTTAACGTAAAAAAAATAATTTGGACACCGGTAATCATTTTCATAACAGATGAGAGCTTCATTAATGCATAGAAAACATTTCTTTAAGGGTTTAGAATACAAAAGTATTTAGAAAATAATAAACTGGAAAAAAACCCATGCACCTATTACTGCGAAGGGATGTGTCTATTACTGCGCACTGAATTTTCGATGATTACTAACAAGGAGAGCTTTTCAGGTGCGGGTCATGGATTTGCTCTAAAATTTTTTTGCGGTCTGCTGGTACCCAATACTGAAGCTCCCTGTGCTTAGTTTGATCCAATGGGCCTTAGAGCCCATTTTGTAGAGGATTTTCCACATTATAAAAAAATCTTTGTTATTTTCTATATCGAAATAGAAGTACTGAAACGAAAAAATGCAACAATCAAAAGTTTCAAAATTTTTCAAAGAATCTGCTTGAACTTTTTCAGAATTTTTGGGACCATCTATCACTTAATTCGAAAGGCCCAAATTTGATGCTCTTTAAATAGATTTTAGGACTCCTTAAAGAGAGTGGTAGATGGTCCCAAAAATTCTGAAAAAATTCAAGCAGATTCTTTGAAAAATTTTGAAACTTTTGATTGTTGCATTTTTTTGTTTAAGTACTTCTATATCGATATAGAAAATAACAACGATTTTTTTAAAATGTGAAAAATCCTCTAAAATGGGCTTTAAGGCCTATTGGATTAAACTAAGCATGGGGAGCTTCAGTATTGAGTACCAGAAGACAGCAAAAAATTTTTGGAGCAAATCCATGACCCAAACCTGAAAAGCTCTTCTTGTAAGTAATAATCATTTTCACACTATGAAAACTTGCATATCGATCGGAAATTTCCTCAGCTTTCGATTGGGACTATTTAAAAAAATCTTATAAATGAACTTTTTAGCTTAGGTAATTTCCCATCAAAATGATCTGTTACCTTTTTCTTCTAGGTGCATTTCGATACTTTTTACGAGAGTTAGAAAATGAGTGATTTCGTTTAATTGGGCCGCGTGGACACTTGTATAAAATACCTTATAAATATGTGCAGTAATAGGTACATACAGTGCGCAGCAATTGATACATTGGTTCAAAATATGTAACTAATTTTATTTTTCAAATTTATTGTAGAAAAATATAACTAATCAAATAAATAGCAGCTCCTTCATATCTACGAAATCGCACACTACGTGTCGATACTTGTAATCACTCAACTCAATCAAAGTTTATAAAATATCGTTTATATTTGTAAATACATTGTATGCATATAATTTTAGTAGCTTCATAAGAATAACTGTGTAAATCAATTGTACTGTGTTCGTGTGTGCAACACCACCATAATCGGCGATTCCAATGAAAAACTGTAAGTTTATTATTATATCTCTTTGACATTATACTTCCTTTTACCCTACCCCTACGCAACAAGTGACAACAAATAAATAAAAGGTTTCTTGTTAGAATTCCGACTACGGAGTATATAACAGTACGCTCGGATCAATGCTGGCCACCCGGTGTCGCTTGGGTTGACTTTCAAATTCGTTGCCACTTTCAACGGTTCTAACTATTCCAATTTAATACGGTCCAAGTTGTGCATAGAACGTGTCACACACTTTAATAACTACACAAGGTATCCAAACCAATAATTTTACTTTTTGCAGCTAATCGCACGTGAAGCATTTTCTCTCGCTACAGGAAACGATTTCCTCATCCTCGCACATCACATGTGACTCTTGGCTCACGCTTAGTATTCAGGTGACCAGTTCCTCGGCCTGCTCCAAAACCGTCCAGGATATCGCGTACTGAGGTACGCTGGTATTCTCTCACACATACACAGACATACCTACGCGCGTCACAATGTATACCATAAATTGTACATCATAATTTTATAATGAGATATATAAAAAGAACATTACCTTTAAAACCTGGATGTTTGCAGCATGAATTTGGATTTGATGATTCCAACATTAAATAATGAAAATAAAAGACGAAATTAGTAAGCATTTACATTTGTTTCAGATTATTTATTTTGTAAAGATTATTTTGAATATTATCGAATATACAATACAATAAGTAAAAACAAAATATATAATAAGTTAATCTGCAAAACTCGTGACTATATTTTTTCTGATTACCTTATGCAACTTTTGAAGCCAAAAACCCTTTTTTCAACAAACATAATTTTTTAGGGCGATAAGGAGCCTAAAAATGATGAAAAGAATTTTTTCTTATTTTTTTCATCGAAATATAGTACTTTGAATTAATTCAGACTTTTCGATTGAAGGCGATAGCATCTAAAGCTAAAAAACGCTGTTTTTAACCCATTAAGTCCGGGACGGACACTTTTTCGATACTTTTTTGAGGCGTTATATTTTTGTTGAAAATGGGGTCTGAAAAAATTGCGAGTAAGCATACTCTACGCAAAATTTAATGTACTTTTCAAATCCGGTGTCAGATTTTCGATATAACCAACCAGTCAAAAGTTATGGATGGTTTTATCCGAAAAAACGTGGTTTTGAAGAAAAAAATTTTTTTTCTTTTCAAATTTTCACATGGAAATCGTTGAAGTCCTGGGGTCTCGGATGCAAATTAAGCGTCCATGGACCCTAAACTAAAAGTTATCATGGTTTAGATTGGAGAAAATAAAGTTTAAGTAAACAAAATGGCGGTTGGAACACCAAAATTTGTTTAAAAACTTCTCGAATTTTTAACTCGAAAAAGAAGGGCTTAAGGAAAAAATTTTACGCTAGAGTTTTTTCAGATTTTTTGGAATTTTTTTTTGATTTTTCAAAATTTTCAATTTTCAAAAATTGAAAAAATTTTTCAAAAAAATCTGAAAAAATTCTAGCGTATTTTTGGACCGATTCTAAGAACTTTTTGATAAGTAAAATTTTTTCCTTAAGTCCTTCTTTTTCGAAATAAAATTTCCGAAAGTTTTTTTATCTTTTCTTCAATTTTTTATAAATTTTGTTTTCAATTTTCTTTTTATCTACCGCATCACCTTTTTACATTTATTGATGCAAAATTTTAAAACATGCAGAACATACATGAACATTGAAGCCTTTACATATTTTTTGTGTTCTTACAGAACATTTGCTGTAGTTTTCACAATTTTTTTTCAAATCGGCAATCCCTTCATTGTGTTTTTGTCTAACTGTTGCTTTCAAAAGATAATGCTCGGCAATTTTCATAGCGAGTTCTTTGGAACCTCTTGTTTCATGTACGTAATTTCGAAGGACAGTTGCATTTGCCATTGAAGATTGAATGAGTCTTATAAAGATGGGCCACGTCCATCGTTTTGCTCTTATGCATGGCATCAAATTGCTACAGTGCGAATCATGTAAATCAACTCCACCCATAAACGTGTTGAACATTTTAAATGCGTGTGGAAATGGTACTGCAATATCTTTCATTTCATCAAATGAAAACCTATCCATATCAGAGAAAGGAGTAACTCCCATGCTGCCGTTGAAAGCACAGATAAAGCTTTAGAATCCATGGCAGTAATGAAATTTAGTCCACTATTTTTTTCGTGCTGTACAATATGAGCACCTCTTTCGGCGTTTTTACCTAGATTATTTACTGCATTTACTCTATTCACTCGTACTGTACCCTTCAATGCACGTGTTTCCAAATGAATTAATAAATCAGGATTAGTGAAAAAGTTATCAAAATATGAGTGGTATCGATCCAATTTTCTAGGTACAACTGATAATAGTAAGTCTTGAGTCATCGAAAGAACTACGCGGCTTCCTAAAGAACATTTTGTGAGTACAGGTTTTTTCTTGGAAGAAAAAATGTTTGATCCCTTACCACAATATATGTCACAGTCAAACAAATATCCTTCAGGACTAGCTATTTCCCATTTTTTGATTCCCCATCGTTCAGGTTTATTTTTCATGAACTGTTGTAAATTTGTACGACCGTGAAACTTTACCATCATTTCATCTACAGCTAAGGCGGTAAAAAAAAACCAAATTTATCTTCTAATTTATTCATCTTCAATTAAGATTTTATTTTTAAAAATTTATCGCGAGACATGGCTGAAGAAACAGCTGGACATGAGAGAATTGGATTTTTGGACCAATAATCTTTTTGCGATTTCCTTTCATTGAAAGTTGATAGTACTAATATACCTATAAAAATATCTAAATCGTTTTCAGTCAGTTTCTAACCATTTATATTTGTGCATTCAATGATATAGCTCTTGATTTCCTTGGAAAAAAAAAGTTCAAACAACTCTACTTCAGATAAATTTCGAATCATATCTTTTGTATGATCAGAAAGTAAAATTTCATTTTTAAGGCATTCTCTATATTTTTTTTCTTTACCAGTCCACTCATACTTATGGTCAGGTTCCAGATGCTTTTGGTGGTTAGTATAGCTATCCGGAACTCGACGATAAGATATCGTTAATGCCCGATCAAAATTATTTGAAGATGAAGCGTTTGTTTCAGATTCTACATCTGATTCTACGTCAGATTCTCCTGAATCATTCATGTCTGGAATAAAAATAGCATCATACTTCCCATCTTCTCTATCTTCAATCTCAACATTAGCAGAGCGTGATAATTTTGCACGTTTTGAATTTCGAGGGGCCATTGCAAAAATTACTTTCTGAGAAAATAATTTGTGATGAAGATATTCAAGATATTCTATAAAGAATAAAACCTTTTTTTTCAATCCTTTTGCTTTTGTAAAAAAATTTACGAATAGCTCATAAAAGTTCAAAGAATAAGATTCTGATAAAAAACAAATTTTTATTTACTTTGTCTTCATCTATGAAAACATGTAATTTAAGCACACAAAATGGCGGTTGGAACACCAAAAAATATTGAAAACCTTTCGGAATTTTTATCTCGAAAAAGAAGGACTTAAGGAAAAAATTTTATTGATAAAAAAGTTCTTAGAATTGATCAACGAATAGGCTAGAAATTTTCAGATTTTTTTGAAAAATTTTTTCAATTTTTGAAAATTGAAAATTTTGAAAAATCAAAAAAAAATTCCAAAAAATCTGAAAAAAATCTAGCGTATTCTTGGATCAATTCTAAGAACTTTTTTTTTCAGTAATATTTTTTCCTTAAGCCCTTCTTTTTCGAGTTAAAAATTCGAGAAGTTTTTAAACAAATTTTGGTGTTCCAACTGTCATTTTGTTTACTTAAACTTCATTTTCTCTAATCTAAACCATGATAACTTTTAGTTTAGGGTCCATGGACGCTTAATTTGCACCCGAGACGCCAGGACTTCAACGATTTCCATGTGAAAATTTGAAAAAAAAAATTTTTTTTTGTTCAAAACCACGTTTCTTTGGATAAAACCATTCATTACTTTTGACCGGTTGATTATATCGAAAATCTGACACCGGATTTGAAAAGTACATTAAATTTTGCGTAGAGTATGCTTACTCGCAAATTTTTCAGACCCCATTTTCAACAAAAATATAACGCCTCCAAAAAGTATCGAAAAAGTGTCCGTCCCGGACTTAATGGGTTAAAGACGTTGGGGACCTTTAGATCAAGTTGGGCCACGATGTAGATACTTCGGAATTTGATAGTTAATAACACTCTTAATGCTCTCCCGAAATTTTAGCATCGATTGTCGATCGAATTTTTGTATAATTTAATTTCAAAATTACACTTTTTAACATGGAAATCATAAGAAAGCGCAGATTTCTCACACAATTTTAAGTGTAACTTTAGGTGAAAATAGGAGATCGGGACCAAATTTCGCATAATGAAAGATGAAATCATTACCTTTCAAATGGTATCAGTTATATTGTATATTCATGAGCATATTTCAAAGTAATTTTATAAAAATAAAAAAATTTCTCGTTTGTTCTACATACAATCTAACTCGAGAGGTTAGCAGCCGACAAAAATACGCGTGATGGCATATGTATTGGCTTTAAGCCTATGATACCACCGACCTACCTAGTCAAATCAAGTATCTACCTTGCTGTTTCTGTACTCAGCTGTTTCTTGATAGTTGCTACTTTGAACTCGGTTGCGTTCCAAACGTCCTTAAGTAAGAAGGTCCTAGAAGCCAGAGCTTCTAGTGAACAATTTTTATAATTTTTTTTTTAATGCCTTGTCAGAATTTAAAAAATTTTGATATTCTCATTTTATTTATTAAGGCCTCCTATAGCTCAATATAGAGCATCAATGAAAAGATAAAAACCTAGTTTATCCCTTGATGTTTTCGGAAATGTATTCAGAATTTTTTATTAATCTAGGTTATGTTTTTCAATCCGATCAAAACAACAGAAAATATTTTTGATTTTTTCTGTTGAAAGATTTTAATTACAAGAAATTAATTACAAAGAATTTAATTACAAAACTTTTGAGACCTAAAGGAATATAATTGAATAACTGTTGCATTCAAAATCATGCGGTCAAGGACTTAAAAATCACAAGTCAATATATATGAATCCTGGATGAATTTTAATTATAAAAGGAACTACAGACATATTTTTTGTTGTAAAAGGACTTGTAAAAACATATTTTTACATCAGAAACAAAAAATTTTAATAGTAATCCTTAATTTTCATGTTTTTGCATTTCTAGACATAAACACAGGTGTGTCCCCTAAAGGAATAATGAAACTAGTTTGCTGCTCTAGATTGAGCTAAGAGGCTTCAATCAAAAACTTGAAACGGTCAAATTGTATTGAAATTTGACAAGGAATTCAAAAAAGGCTTAAAAAAATTGTAATTTTTGGTTTTTGTTTCTTTTCATAAAATTTAAGCTAAAATCGAGGTTTTTTTTTTATTTTGAGTACTGTACCTCAAAAAATGACCTTGAAAAAAGAATACAAGAGTACATTTTCTAACGTAAAATCTTCCGCTCTCTTAAATTTGCAATAAAAAATGAGGGTTCTCATTTAAAAAATCGATTTTTCGGTCGCTGTAGCTTCGAGGTTATGTTCA